TCACCCTCTGGACAGAAATTCGCACAGCTGAACGCTGTTAGTGGGCTGAATAATTCTATAGAATGCGACGAATGCGAAGTGCGACTGACTTAGAGGTGAGTCGAGGAAGAAGTTGCCAAAGTCTGTCGCGTCTCTAATGCACGCTGGCATTTACATAATTCCCCAGACAGGACGCGGGGCCAGTTCTGGGAGCAGCACTTGACTCAAGGCTAGCACCCAGAACCCAGAGCTCGCAACTCAGAACCAAAATCAAAATTAGAGGCAACCCAGCAGTGAGCCAAGCCAAATATCAATTACAATCACACAAACCCAACACAGCACGGACCACTTCAGCTCGGGGACAACGGCCGGCGATAGAACAACAAGCAAATTAATTGAAATCAATGCAAATGCCAAGCGGGCCAAGCGGGCAACCCTCAAGGGTTGTGTTATGTTTCGTTCTGGTTTTTCAATTTCAATAGGCAATCGCATTTGTCAGCGGCTTAAGTCGCACTCCGCTTTCCGTTTTCCGCTTTCCTCATTCCCAACCCCCAACCCCCGCCTCTGCACAGTGGCCGTGCCACGGTTCCATTGTTGTCAAACATGTCAAAGCAATAGCAAACATTTGGGCTGTTTTTAATTTATCAATGCAAGTCGATTCAGTCTACTCTTCTGCTCTCATTTTTTTCTCACTGCCCGCTTGATCTATGGATTCCATTTCGCGGTTTGCTGAGCACATGCAACGCCCTCAGAGGCAGCAGCAGGCATAGCAGCAGATAACGCGCCGATAAGCAATGACAGTGTCCTTCTGGCAGCACATCCGCGGTCTCTTTTGTGTGATAAGTAACTCATTATGTCGCTGGGTAGCTGCCGGCATGCTTCAACAGTGAGTCATTCAGCTTCTGGTGTATCCGCGGTGGCTTTTGTGGGTATCGAACCCTACGGGACATATTGTTACTGAACTTTCTCTCGTCGCTCTTCAACATATGTCACAATATCGAGGCATTCAAATCACTCGAAAGGGGAAAATTTCTGTCTATATAAAATTGCATAGATTACACAGTGCCGTATGTTAATGTATTTCTCTGTGTTGACAATGTAAATGTCGATTCATTTGGTCTTTTATTGCAAACAAAATTTAGGGAAATGTTAAAAAAGTTCTTTGATTAGGTTCAAGCTTTTGTCAGTCAGTTGTTGTAAAAGTCTTAAAAGTGATTAAGTTATGCTATGGCATTAAAGCTGTATTGCTATAGAATTGCAGGTAGTTCGGAGGCTGAAAATGGTTACTTCTCTTCCCTAAGAAGAGACATTTATTACACTATGTACAAGTGTGAACATTTAAGCTGACTGAACAAAGAAATAAATTATACAAAAGAAAACAAAACCAAAGAAAATCATTCAAAATAAAATAAAAAATAAAATAAAATAAAATAAATAAATAAATAAAATAAAAAATACTCTCGCAAGGGAACAGATTTTACTGTTGCTAAATTTACTGGAATTGGGCTAATAGATATAAAAGCATCTTTTGATTCTGTTTGGCATAACTGCATAAAATGATTATCGTATGGGTATGGGCAGCACCAATCTAACAGCCGTCATGCCTTTCTCCTCTTCCCTGTGATAGAGTTTAGAAATTGGTTAAGCAGATTCACTAACTCAACATTTTGTGCGTTTGATCAGCTGTCACGTAGACCCCACCTTTTTTGAAGAATGTGAGAAGAATATTTAAGTAAAGAATAGATTATTATTAAATAAAATATAGTGCCCCCAGATATACCTACTATATATAAATATTTCTATCAATACTAAAAAACATTTGTGCATCAAATTTTCGGTCTTCAGCTCTCATACCATTCCAAGTGGAACTTCCATCTTTATGTTTGCAGTGTAAAAAATGCGTCTCGAACTGATTGAATGGCTTCAGTCTGATAGGAGATTCTCACCATTAAATACCTATTGGCTTTATTCGAGGCTACGATAACATTTTGATACGCCCGATTTGCGATATCGACTTTTTTATGCTAATCATTTTGTATTCTTAAAGGTCAGTTATGCTGAAACTCAATGTCAATGGACGGCACATCAGAGGCCATAAAATCGTTTGGCAACACGCGTCGCGGTTTAAAAACCAATGTCAATAAATTTTCACTAGAACAAATTTATTGGTAAGCCCCAGTGAAACGAGATCAAGCTTTTTGACAGAGCGTCAGACACGATTCAACTCGTTGACTCGACGCGCAAAACGGCGACGCCTCCAAATGTCAATAAAGAACAGATTTTGTTTGGCAAACGCTTTTTATGTGGAGACCGCACAGTCGAGGAAAGCGGGCCCAAAATACGAGCATAAAACTCTGCCAATTGCCCAGTGAGCCGCGCGCCGTTTGGCGACAAAATAATGACATCAAATCGCATAATTTGTGCAGCAGACGAGCCACGAGTAACCCCAAAAGGTTAGCTAAGGGTTAGCGACAACAACAACAAGAACATAAAAATGAAAGTCGAGGAAGCGCTTTTCAAATTGCCTGATTTACTAGTCGCTGGGGGCTAACGATTTCCCTGCGCAGCATAAAGGAAATAAAGTATGCTCCAAGGATACCCACACACATACGTACATATATATAAATGTTTGTATATATATATAGTACATGGCCACATGTGGTGGCTGGGCAAACTAGCAACAATAAGAAACGAAAAATAACAGCACACAACAAGAAAATAAATAGAAAAGTGCTTGGCAATAAAATTTGCGTAAATAGTCCAATTTGCATTGAATGTTGCCTTATTTATTTTTCGACTTTCCCACTGAAGCCCCCTCCGCAGAGCCGAAACCAAAAATGAATCACACTTGCCTATTGTTATGCTTTCAAATGTTTCTTGTTGTTATCGTGTGTGTATGTGTGTGTGTTGTGGGTGTTAGTGAAGTGTAAATTTGGCAAATTTTGTTAAAAGCAAAATATACAAAAATAGCCCCGAATATATGTAGTAAACACAGCAATGAGGGGAATAAAAGTTTACAGCAATTTCTGAATTATCAATGGCTCCCTTAAAGAGGCTTTTGGGGCATCAATGGAGTAGATTGGCTAGCTGGCAGCACTAAAGACACGAATTGTGTTAAATTGTTTTGGGAAACATGCAAATTCGTGAAGACTTTCAAGCTAATTGCATTTGCCTCCTTTATATATATTTTTTGACTTTTTCCTACGGTAAGCGTGTTCTGTCATTGTTCTATTGTTTTCCGCTGGAAACTTTTGCCAGACGAAAGTACTTCAAACTTTTCACTTCGAGTCGAATGCAATGAGGCCTAGCAATTAACAATCGATGCTTAAAATGCTGCCAATTAACAATTAACAAGCTTCCAGCCCCAAACAGAAGTATTTTTTAGATTTTAAGTGCACATTCAGAAATATATATATATATATTAACATATATATATTTTTTATATATAAATATGCATCTATATATTTAAATACGTTTAGTTATTTATGGATTGACGCTAATTATATGGCGTTATTTTGGGTCAGCACGCATAAGAGCGAGCCAACGATTGATCGATTCCTATTGGCCGTTTAAATAAAGCCATAAAACAATTCAATTTCACACGCACCGAACAAATTTTAATGTCGGCCCCGAAAATTGTAAGCTAATTACAAACACATGATGTCCATAAATTAGCTGCTGTGCTTGCAATGCGTTTTTCTATATAATATTTAAATTGATGTAATTAACGTGATTATGTACTTAGCCAACTAATTGGCCGGCAAAGGGGACATCGAATTATTGAAGCTATTGTCTTTCGAATTTCGTTGACATTTATTTCGTGCTCTCCAGCTACTTGGCTGCCAGTCTACCCAGCGTACCCATCCACGCTCCCAAAAATTAAGTGAGTTATTAGCTCGTTATCAGCCACACTTAATATTTATACAGTTGGCTGCTGAATAGCGGTGCTACATCAGCTGCTAACCAATTCAGACAGCCAAGAGCGCACCATCTGGGCGTGCCCAACTTGACTTTGCCCTGTAGCCGGAGTAGAGGGAAATCACGACCAAAATAACTGCAAACTTTTCTGATTCAGCGGGTGTCAGTTGGGCTATAAAGTGCTTCGAGAAACATCTTCGTCTTACGTTTGGCCTGACAATCTTCGCTGTCTCTAAATCAGCTCTGGGTGATCATACCCGCTTAGAGCATTTGCCACGGTTGCAGAGCACTGACAAACTCAGAGAAAGCTGGCTGTAGGTGGGCCCAGACTGTTGCTGCTTGTTGCTTAAAATTCAAACAATGTGTTGATGCCTTCACACCAACAACACATGCATAATTAATATGCAAAAGAAGCAAAAAAGCAGCAGCAACAGGACAAGAGACAGAGGCAGCGGCAGAGGCAGAAGGGCACAACTTTTTGGCCGAGCTGGAAAATTGAAAGGGTTAGCATACATTTTGGGGGCATGCGGGATGCATCGTTAGACGACATTTTGCAGCTCTGCTGCTGCTTCATTATTACAGCTTCCGCGTCAACATCATTTCCGCAAACAGCAACAACTACACACACACACACATCGTTTGCTTTGTTGTTGTTGTTATTATTGCCATGCATAATTCATATGTGAAACGCAACAATAGGTGGCAAAGCAAACGAAGCAAAAACATAACCTCAAACCTCTTGAATGGCATTGAAAATGGTTTAATTGGAGCTTCATACACCCACACACCCACACAACCCACACAACCCACCAGCCCCACAACCCCTTCGAACCCTCGGCCACCCTCTTCGGGCATTTACATATTTCAATGCGTGCAATTAAGCGTGTTTGTGGGAGTTTGGGGCGGCGCCTTCGAGAAGCGGCTGGGAATGCCAACTGTCATGACATGACAAAAAAGTTTAATTTTTTGTTCAAAATTTTCGACGGATTTCATTCTTTTTTCTCTACAGATTAACATAGCTAACTTAACTTCTAAGTACATGGGTCACTTTTTTCTTATCTTCCTCACTTTCTCTCCCTCCGTCTGTCTGTGTCGTCTTCCAGGAAAATCACGACATTTTACGGTGAACGGCTTGAGTGCTAATAACACGCTTCAGCAGCAACAGTACAGCTTGCAACAACAGCAGCTGCAGCCAGCGACTGACACTCGCAACATATACAACAATCCGTACAATCCACAGCAACAGCAACAACAACAGCAACAACAGCAGCAACAGCAACGCACCGCACATCTCTTTAAAGCGCTGGCTGCCACAGCTGCTGTTAGCGGCAATAATAGCTTGAGCCATCCGTATGATTTCTCGAACTCGTCGTCCTCATCGAATGCCAACAACGAGCAGCAAGGATCATCATCATCGGAGGCGGATAACGCGTTTCTAACTCATAATAACGGTAAGTTATCCAAACAAGAATTGTCTTTAAGGGCCAAATAAAAACTCTATAAGAGTGAAGAGATATGATTTCAAAAATCTATTACCATAAATAAAAAAATATAATAAAAAAAAAATTATAAAAATTATTATAAGAGTGAAGATATATGATTTCAATAATCTATTACCATAAATAAAAAACAATAAAATAAAAAATTATAAAAATTATTATAAGAATGAAGAGATATGATTTCAAAAATCTATTACCATAAATAAGAAAAATAAAATAAAAAATTATAAAAATAAAAAAATAAGAATAGAAAAAAACGTTATTTCCTAACTTCAACTGACGTCACTTTAACATATAGGATTTACAACTGAAAGAGTAAACTTTATCTATATAGTCCTGGCAATGAGAGTGTGTAGAAGCTTAAGAACATTTAATAATGTGCTTTAAGCTTTGGATTTAATTTGATTAGGACTAGCCAGGCTGTACTCTGCTGAGCTGCATCACAAATTGAATCGCAACTCAAGCAATTAAAAACACAACTTTCGAGCCTTAAGTAATATTTCCGCTCTAACATAATTCCTACCTCGGCTAGCACAACAAATCAAAAAACTTGCTCACCTGCCTGCTTGGCTGGCAGTTTTCCATAATTTGCACGCAATTTGCATTTCAAGTGGCCAATCCCCTCGCTCTCGTCTGCGATCTTCAGGCTCCTCTGCTCCTCTCAATGCTCAAGTTGGCCACTAGCTTTTACTTGACTTGCGACTGCCTTCTAATTACAGCACAAAAATGTGCTTATAGCTCAGCCTCAAACCCGAGCCCAGCGTCAGATGCCGCTCGGAAAACTTGGCACCCAACGTGAAATTAATGTGAGAGCTCATAATTTGTTGAGCAGCGCGGATGGGACACACTCTCAGTCTCTCCTTGGGGAAAATGTGAGCTTGTTTAGCTGGAAGAAAGCAGCTACAAATTACAGGGTAAAGCGCTTGGGCAAAGGTGTGGCAACTTGTGGCCAAGATTTATGTGGCTGCTGCACCTTGTTGTTATATTATGGTCGAGCATAGTAATGGAGAGCACGCTGAGAATGTAACAGTTGAACTAACTACTTAATTTGATTGAATTTCAACTTGGACTGATGCAATCTTGTAAATATTTACACACACACAACTGCGCATAGGTTTTAACCATAGCTGAAGTATTCTTACATGCTATCTTAAGCTGACAATCTCGTGCTCAGAAGCCAGACTAAAGTTGCCCTTCGACGGCCAGCCTGCTAGCCTGCCAGCCTGCTAGCCCGCCTGGCTGGCTGAATTATCCACAAATCATTTGGGGGCTGCTGGGGCAACTATAAAATGTGGCAAAGTGCAATTGCCGCACAGGACAATGGAAGGCAGGCAAACACGACGCCTGTTATGCAATAAAAATCATTAAAAAAATATATAAAAATGAAAGCGGCAAGTTAACAAGGCGCTCGATCCTGGCGCTCTGCCCTCTGATGCTGATGAAGCCATGGAAAAAATTGAAAATCCTTGCAAGCATCGCGTCGGGTTGGCTAGAAACTAAACGAGCACCCAGCGCCCAGCGCCATAAACTTAAATCACGATTAAAAGTGTGATTATCCTTGTGGCGCTACAAATCGCCGCTGCAGCTGACAGAGCACAGAGGAGCCAGAAGAAGCCAGACGTCGACCACTAGACAGGCACAACAGTGTCCTGGTTGCTCTTGTAGCTTGCTTGTTGTTGCAGTTGTCTGATTTTATATCTTTACAAGCAGGCGCGGCTGTGGATGAGTAGTCAGGCCAGTCTCAATACCAAGTTGCAGTCTGGACCCCAGTCCATGGTGGCCTTTGTTAGTCTGTTGTGTTTATTATACCCTGCACTCAATTTGAAACATACAAAAGGGTACATTGCAAGTGCCAAGGCTTTTACTGATAGGAAATAGAATATTCCGACTGCAAAGTATATTCCCATACACAAGTAAATGTCAAAAGATCTTGTATCTACACAATGATTTCAATACACTCAAGATTCAGTATGTAACAGGGTATCTACAGGTCAGAAGCTACGCTGCGAACAGACATTCTAGCTTTGTCTTGGCTTTTGAATGAGACACAGCAGAGCTTCAAGATTGTCAGCATGTGTGCACGCACACCACAGAACATGGCCCGGCATCAGTGGCCAACTATGAGGCTTACATTCATATATGCATTGAATTGAGTATGCTGTCTACAAGAGCGGGTGTCGAACGTCACAAAACTAACTTGAATTTAAAGAGAAATCTGGGCAGCTCGTGAGTAGTGAAAAAAATAGGTAATTGTTTCCCGTTTCTGTTTCTGTTTCTGTTCGTGGCCTTTGCCGAAATAAGGAAAAGCTTTTTACGCAATCAAAAGTTGGGCAAAGTATTAAAAGAATTCCAAGCGATTTAGAACCCTTTTATGTCCCACGCATACAGACAAAGTGCGTCACTGAAAGCCCAAAATAAAACTACGCTTAAACTGGAATTAAATTCCTTGCCTTTGTCCCTTTTTGGGCCATAATAAAGCATTATTAGCACTCGCAATTTAAATAAGTACGAAAAATCAAAGTGAAGTTCCGTACATATGTCCATAATATCCATCAATTGTTTTGCAAGGACGATTGCTGCCACCCTAAGCTGTCAATTGGTCTGCAGACTTTTGCAAATACAACGAAACCGGAGCCATCGTCCAGTTCCTGCCTCGATTTCAGTGCAAATACAAACAGGCGAATGCAAATAAACAAGGCGTAGAAGGCCTATAAACAAAGGAGCAATCGAAATCGATGGTGGACCGTCCACCCCAGGCCTGGCTGTCCTGACGGACGTTCGGCTTATCACAATTCACCCATCACACGAGCAACTGGCTGTCTATCCGTCCGGCCATTGGCTTGCGTTTCACCCCCAGCCGAATCAGACGTTGGACAATTGACTCTCGTATTTCAGTGATGAACTTAACTTATGTCAAAATATGCGATAAGTAATCCTTTTCGGCTCCGCCAGCCAGCTTCCTGCTCGGCAGGTCAGCTTCACTTGCCCAAGCACAAAATTCGGGCCTAGACCTGGGACTTGGGTCTGTGTAAATATTTTGTTTCTAGTAATTTTGCTCCGTCGTCGGGGGTAAGTTGATGGCTTTGCCATTTTTGTACATTTGTCACGAAATCTAAAACGAAAAGTATATACAGGCTGTTGTCCTTGGACGCCTGTGTCTGTAATGAATTGTGGCAAAACGAACGGATGGACCCATTGATAAGGCAAGCGCTGCAAAGTTGGCCAATCGTCTTTTGTTTGTTCTTCATTTGGTGCATGTTTGCAGGATTTGAATCGAAAACTGCCTAATAGATTTATTTTCTGCTTGGCGAGCCACTAGTTTATCCCAGGCGCAATAGTATAACAAATCTAGCTATAATTTTAGATTTACACAAAATATTTCCATTTTATTGTGACAATTTGAAGCTTCCTCCTTATCACTGATAGACTTGTATTTATGTATTTGACCTGTCTTATCGATGGCCATAAGCCCGTGGACCAACCCCAAAGGCTCTGAAAGCCCCCAGTTTTACGCCGAGATTCTCAATTAGGATAATCTCCGAATGACTACACAAATATTGGCAAAATTCGAAAATTCGCTGCAGACACTTTGTCAGGCATTGCGGGCAATGCATTGGAAGCGATGTAAGTCACTGCATGTCATGGTCATGGTACTGGTTCCTGATCCAGGGTTCGGCTTCGTCTGGCTGCTCACAACTGTTTATTTTGCCTTGTAACTGTTATAGTTGTTGTTTTTACGCATTTGCAGGGAGACATCGCTCGCTTTTCAGGTTTCGGGACTTTCAGGCAAATAACATTTTCCGTATTTTTAGATGATATGCGTCTCTGGGGGGCGGCCTGCATGATTGGGCGTTTGGGCGTTTGGACTGTGTGCGAAGGGGCGCACGGATGGGTCAGCTGCCCTCTATTATATGCACATAAAAATAAATTCCAAGACTTTATTATGCCCATGTACTTGTCATTGTCGATATGTGTGCAATGGACTGTGCTTTCATAAGGGTAAGAGTGAAACATGCAGCCCGCGCCCTGAGCCCGAGCTCCCCCTGCCTTGGGGTCTGCCCACTCGGAAGTGGGTAATGCAACTGCGAGGGCGCGTTTGCACTGCTGGTTTCTGATGTTTAATTTTGTGCCAAGGCTCAATTGAATAGCGTTCGAACGCTTCATTGAGTTACATTGAGTAAACAATAAGAGCGCATAACTTTTACTTGGCATATTTGGTCCATGAAGATCATCCCAGAAGTTGTGAATAGCTTGAATGCAGTCTTGAGTAACACATGAAGCAGTCTTTTAGGAAAACAACACGTAATCTTTGCTGGGTTAGCTAACTTAAGTTGGCTTCTGAGCTGCCCAATCGTGTGTGACCTGGCAAATCAGCAGAGTCCATTGGAGCACGACGAAACGCCTACGCCTGTCTGAGGCACACAAAAAATCTCAGATTTCGAGACAATCAAAATGGCAGTTTGATGCACTTTTTAGTGCCGCAATAGTAAATAAATGGGAGCTGGCTCTTAGGTTTGCAGGTGCCGCCAGGACGGCTGGCTGGCTAGCTGGCTAGCTGCCTTGCTGCCTTGCTGGCTTGCTGGTTGGCAGGAGCAAGTTTTGTCCGCGCAAAAACAAGTTAGATACGAGTCAGTAAGCCAGAGATGCTCATTGATAAGCCAAGCAAGTTTTTGAGAAAGTGCGCCTAAGTGTCTGCCCTAAATTTTTGTCAAATTCAATTGTAATTTTGTAATGTGAAGTGCAGACTCACAAAGCCGGCGCTTGAGCTCGCAATCTCATCTTCAATTCACATGAATACATTTTGCTCTTAAGTGTCCAAGCACTTGAGCATGCCTTTTGGCCGCTGTCAAGTGGGAAATTGTGGTCAGGCCATTATAACTTATATAAGTCACTCTGGTCCAACTCCCACTCTCTCTCTCAAACTGTCTCTCTCTCTCTCGCTGTCGCTCAAGTGGCGGTTGGTAAATTTTTGGCCATGCCATTTTCTAAATTAAATTCAAACTGACATCGTATCAATTTAAATCAAATGAAGTGCACTTTTTGTTCGGCCCGACTGCGCTCGAAAACTGCTCAACTATCGAGAGCATCTGAAAGAGTCGCAGTTCAGCACAGGCCGGAAAGCAATCGAGCGTATCCTTTAAGTGCTGAGCCAAAAGTGGCATCAACTTTAGCATAGTTTTTGGCCGCCATGGCAATGCCTCACGCTCCGTTCAACTTTGAGTTGACATAGTTTCCAGTTGCCTGAAAGCCAGCCAGCACGTGCGAATGCCAGTTGTAGTTATAGCTAAAGTTCGAGTCGTGTTGCCCAGTTAAAGTTGGCTCTGGTTTAGCTGCAGCTCATTACGTGGCCAGCAGGGCAAATGATGTGACAACTTGCAGACCAAATTAGAATTTGTACATGAAAGTATTCAACAGCACGAGCGGGGGCCCTAAACGAGCCGGGCCACAAAACACCTGACCAATTTACGACGCCTACTACAGCCGGAAACGGTGCCAGCAATTTAATGAGCTGCCATTTATATAAAAAGCAGCAAAGTGGCCAAAGGTGGCCAAATATTTAGCAACATTCGGCATACAGACAGACAACAGACAGTATGTGTGTGTGTGGGAGGGAGTGGGAGAGATACAAACACCTAACGGCACTTGCAGCATGGAGCACGGAGCTAGGAACTCGGGTACTCGGGTACTCACATGTGGGCTGCTTGCGAGTCGCGGGTCTGTGATTCATGCAATTCGCACAGCAGTTGGCCATAAAAATGGCTTAAAATGATCATCATAAACGTTGAGTGAGCAAATATTGCAATAAAAGTAAATGACTGAAGGACGTCGTAAAATATTTATACGTGATGCACACACACCCACACACGCACACACACGCAGACTCCCGTAAGACAACTCTCATGAATATCATAAAAATGGCGAGCAATGCTAAAAAATGAAGGCAAGAGCCAAACAAGTCGAGCAAAATGTGCCAAGCAAGCAGAAAATCATGCGATGGGGGAGCGAAACGAGTCGAAATTTTGACCTAATGATGAGTTTTAGCAGCAGGTGAGCAAATTGGAATTAACTTGCTACGATGTACTTGAAGCATGTTCTTAATGAAGTGCTCTCAACAGCAAGTATACTATATAGTCTATTTATAGCCATGTTTATAGCAGAGGTTCTGTTATGAACAGAACTTTAAGATAGTTGCAGCTGACCCACACCAGAGCTTTACACAACTGTCTCTC